CAAAGGACCCACCGGGTCCTAGTGCCCGCCCGCTCCCCCTCCTTCGCGCCTCCGGGTCCTAGCGCCGGGTCTCCGCCCGCAGCCCACCCTGCCCGCCTCTGCCTCTGCCGGTGCCCAATACCTGTCCCCACATGTGCTTGGTTTTCTCTTTCTTCTTGCCTGCTGCCCCCCAGCTCCCGCCCCTCCTGCACCTGCCTCGGGCTTTCCCCATCCGCAACAGTCCTCTCCACGTGTTTCCCACGCACCCCACTTCCGTGCCCTCCTCCCCGTCCCCCTTGTTCCTTCGCCTTCTGCCCCACGCCTCCTGCTCCTTTTCGGCTTCTGCCTGCCGCCTGGGATGCTACTGGACCCCTGCCTTCTCCGCATTCGTTCACCGGTCCGTCCGTCCGTCCATCCATCCATCCATCCTCCCTTCCTCCCTTCTGTCCATCCACCCATGCCTCCAACCCACCGTCCTTTCTGGGCCTCTTGCCCTACCTCTTGGCTCTCTTCCCTGAACCCCACCTTCTCCAGGCCCCTGGGTGCCTTTGGTGATCGCGCTGGCAGCCCCCTTCTCCTGATCTTTGTGTCCTGGGCCCCAGGGAGCGCCTGGCCTCGTGGCCTTTGAGGTGACAGCAGGCATCACGCCCCTGAAGAAGTTTGCAAGTAAGAAGAGGCGGTGGAGGAGGGCCTCTCCGTGCGGCCTCTGATGACACTTGTTCTCCTCTGAGACCGGACTCCCTGCTCAGTTCTGTCCAGCCCTGCATTTTCACCCACTTGAGAGTGGGGGCTGCCCATCTCCCACATGCCTAACCCACCACCCCTCATATCCGGAGATTATATAAGACTGTCAGCGGTCTTCTCCACCTCGAAAGGGGCAAATTTGTCAGTAGGCATCGGAAGCAGACCTATGCGGAAGCCCTGGCCACCGGGACTGCCCCATGCTGGGTGGGCAAGGATGGGGCCATTGTCAGGGTCTGGGTGCATTGAGAACCGGAAATGGAATCAGCCGGTTTGGTGACTCAGAATTGATTTTTTTTTTTTTCCAAGGGACAGGGAGGGGGCGTAGAGGAGGGAGGGGAGAGGAGTCAGGTAGGGGGATGGGGCAGGAGCTGCTTTGCACAACTAAGATCCACCCAGAAAGTGAGAGGTACAAGGGCAACCCCTTGCCCAAAACCCCCTAAATAGGGAAGGGGCTCACATCACCGACCAAGGGGACTTGGAAGATGCCAGAGGCCCCAAGACATCAGCTTCTCTGCTCTGTGGTCATCCTACCCTTGCAGGACCTGAGAAGCTGGGTGTAGCTTTGACAATGCCATGGTAACCCAGGTGGAACAAGATTGAGTTCGTGGGGATGGGGACCTGGGAGAGCTTCTGTTAGGGATGCCATGGAGTAGCAGAAAGGACCCGGGGATCTACAGGAAAATATGTTCAGGACTATTTCCCATTTAAGTGGGGAAAATATTGACTCACAGTCATTCAAGCAGTTGGCCGTGGGACCCGGAACCTCACCTTGGAGGCTATAGGAAAGGTGTCTGGATCCCTCCTAACGGCACCAGTTCCTTCCGGAAGTAGCAGGTGGAGGAAGCAGGAGCCACTGCAGGCTCCCCAAGTGGTGCTGAGCATCAGGATCTCGTCAGGGAGTGTGGGCTTCCTCCTGCCCCGCTGCAGGCCCTGGGCAGGTAGGAGATAGATGGGGCTTCTGGGAAGGAGGTGGTCCTTCTGAGCTGTGTTTCTCCTCCAGGGGCTGAGCTGGAGGAGACTAACAAAAGCACGAAGAAGTTGGATGCCATGACCCTCATTAAAGAAGGTGGGAGTCAGGACCACCTTCCCCTCTGCCCCACCTCCCAGGAGGTGGCTGTTCGGTGGGCGGGGCGGCAGGTCTGGGATCCTCTCTCTGGTAGGTCTGAGTCGGCCCATGCGCCTGGCTGCTGGCACCTGTCGTAGGAGATCCTAATCATAGGGGGTCATGCCTATTCACCCGGAAGCCCACATTCTTAGGGACTGCTTCGATTGAACTCTGGAAGCTGGGAGCCTCCAGCAGGAAGCCCGTCATGCAACAGGGAGGGGCAGTGCTCCCCGATCTCACGGGGAAGCCCTGGGGTCCCCAGCCCCAGTGATGAGGGCTTCTGTCATTGCAGACATGTCCATCTTCGGGCACTGCCCGGCCTACGACGACTTCTATCTGGTTGTGTGTAACCACTGCAGCCAAGTGGTGAAGCCTCAAGCTTTCCAGAAGCACTGCGGTGAGGGAGCCCCGGGGCGGAGCCGCGGGCGGGGAGGGTGGAAGGGAACCCCCAGGACAGGGTCAGCTGGGGGGCCTGAGTGTGAGGGAGGGCGGCCTTGGGGATAGGGAGGTCCTGGGGGTGGCTGCATAGATCGAGGCAGGTTGTTGGGGTTAGCGTTTGAGCAAAACTCCCAGCAGTTCTTTCTAGTGGAGTTTAGGGAGAAGAGCTAAGAGATCCGGGAAGCTGGGCCCTAGAATTTTGAGTCCTGAAGGCTCAGGTTCCGAGGGGAAGGAGGCCTGTTAGAAATCTAAACTCCAGATTCTCTGTGTGAGTCTGTGAGCAGGGTGAGCAGGTCGGGAAGGAGGCAGTGGGTTACTCACCTCCGTTGCTCTCTCCACCTCCTGGTGACAGAAAGAAGACATGGGCCCCTCAGCAAGCTTTACGCCCGGGCCCCACCCCCACCTCCAGCCCCTGCCAGCTCTCAGAAATGCCATGTAGTGAATGGGCAGGGCCCCGCTTGTAGGGCCCCAGGTTCCACCAAAACCTCCTCCAGGGAGAAGGGCCAGGGGTCCCGGAGCCGTGGCCACCCACCACCTGAGAAGAGCCAGAAGGACAACCTCTGGTAAGGAGAGGCTGGAGACACCCCGGGACCCTGGCCCAATCCGGGGAGGGGCTGCCAGATGGGGCAACGGGGGGCGATGGGGGACCATGGAGGGCGATGGGGGGCGATGGGCACCGTTCGCAGCAGGGGGCAGCCAGCTCCGTCGGCAGCCCCTCCCGGGTGCTCCGGGGAATAGGGGTCCCCCCTCCCATGTTCTGCATCCCTGCTGGAGCCCACCCAAGTTCCAGGGCTGGGAAGTGTTTGGCTCTGGGCTAGAGCCCAGGCCCCAGGCCCAGCCTCCCTGCCCCCGTCCACACCCTCTCTCCATGTGCAGCCTGTTCGTGCCTGTGGTGAATCTGGAGAAGATGTCTGGTCTCCCGAAGCCCGACGGCCCCGGAGTCAGGGTGGCCCCGCCCTCTGCCTTCCTCAGCCAGCCCGGCAGCCTCACCAAGGACTCCCCTGGGAAGCCCCCCATGGCGCCCCCTCCTAAGGAACTTCCTGGCAGAGAGAGCATCAAGATAACCCCCAGCGAGGGCCCCAGTCACCGGGCTGACGGCAGCCCCCCTGAAAAGGAGCCTGGTGGGGCCAGGCTGCCCCCTAAGACCCACCGGAAAATGGCCCGTGAGTAGTCGTGGTTTTGGGGGTCAGGAAGGGAGAGTGGGGACTCGTGCTCTGTCCCTGGACCTGATGGAGAGGGGGCAGAAAGGAGAGGGCCCGCCGTCGCCGGTGGCCGGGGTACCGGAGCCGCTGCTCACCTCTTGACGTGACCGCATTTGACCTGCTTGCTCTCTGGGAAGCTTCCCTCCAGCCAGTCTCCCAACCGAGGCTAAAGGGGCCTGTGCCCACGCCCGGGACATGACTCTTCCTCACCTTGGGCTGCGGACTGCTTTGTCTCCCCTAGACCCGGCACCGGGCGCCTCCCACAGCCGGACCCCTGGCACCCAGATGTCTGTGGCTGCCTGTGTGTTTTGATATGTGTTGCCCTGTTTGGGGCTTGGAGTCCCCATACGGAGTGCCTGGGCTGCGGACGGGGCCGGGCGGGGTCTTGGACAGCAGAGAGCTGCTGGTGTGGAGATGTTTCTCCAGACACTGCCGCCTTGCACTGAGGGGCAGGGGGCTCTTCGCCTGAGGCCCAGCTGGCCTCCCGCCTCCTGAGGCCCCCCTGGAAATGCCCTTGAGACTCACTGGAACCGCTCTCCCCACAGGGAAGGAGTGCGACCTCAACAGGCAGTGTGGGGTAATAAACCCAGAGACCAAAAAGATCTGCACCCGGGGAGGACGGCACAGACCTGGGCCCTGGGCAGGGAGAGGAATGGAGCTGTTCTCCAAGATCCAGCTCCAGGGATGGGCAAGGGGCGGGGAGGCTGCCTGCAGTGGGCCTGGAGTGGGGGCAGCAGGCCAGGGGTGGCTTCCAGATCCCCCAATTCTGAGGAGGGTTCTGGTCCTGTGGGGGAGTGAAACAAAAACACACAGACACCCCCGCAAACACACTCACATCCCCTCTCTCTCTGCTTGCCCAGGCCAGAGCACACCGCTGCCCCTCACCCCTGCTCAGCTCACACCCCCTCCCCACCCCTCCATCCTGCTGTGTTCTAGATCCACTCGGTGCACCAGCGCCGGGAGGTCCAGGGCCGGGCTAAGGACTTTGACGTGCTGGTGGCAGAGCTGAAGGCGAACTCCCGCAAAGGGGAGTCCCCGAAGGAGAAGAGCCCGGGGCGCAAGGAGCCGGCTCCCGAGCGCCCCTCCCAGGAGCCCCCCTCCTCAGCCCCGGTTGTGGCAGCGGCGGTTGCTCCCAGCAGCACCTTCTCTGCTCGTGCCAAGCAGACCTATCCCTACTGTGCGCTGCCCAGGTACGTCCAGGATCCAGCCGCATCTCACCTGGGGACACTCGGCCCCAAGCCATCAGGGACCCCTGGAGACAGGCCCAGGGAGCGCGCTGGAAGGTGCTACTCATTCCGCCCCGAGTGTGGGGGGAGACCTGGGGCCCTGGTGGGTGCGGGAGTGGGTGACTCCCTGTTTCTAACCAAGCCGACCACGGTGCTGGAGCCAACACCCAGGATGAGAGCGGTTTCCCAGCTGCTTGTGACAGGCCAACACTCGGCACTGGGGAGCCGAAAGGGTCAGGGAGCTGAAAGGGTCAGGGTCCTGGGCGAGGCGGTCCTACTGTGTATTCATTCGCTGGCCCCTTCGTGTGCAGAGGCTGCGCTGGACCCTGGGGAGAGCCTGCCTTGCGGAAGGAGACACACACGCCTCTCTGCCTGTAACACGGGCAGACACGAGACACAGGCTCAGCTCCCAGACAGGCTCCCAGGAATGTGTGATGCGAGAAGGGGGTTGAGAGAATTGACGGGGCTGACCAGAGCTGGGTGCAGTTAAACTCAGAAGATTTTCTGGAGGAGGCGAATCTGGAGCAATTTCCCCCAAGGAGGCAGGGCCTGGGAAGTGAAGGGCTGGGGAGAGAACTCCCCGGGAGCCGCAGCCCCTGATCTCTGCCTCTCACCCTGTGAGCTCTGTTGTTCCCTCCCTTCCTCTCCTCCCTTCCTCTTTGTCTGATGGCTCAGCAGGGTGTCTGCCCTGGCTTTTTGAGCTGGGCGGGTTCAGGGATACCCCCACCCTGACCCACGGCTGTCCCATCGCCCTCACATCCCCTTTGGCCCTTCCAGGTCCCGGGCCTCCTCTGAGAGTGAGTTGGATGATGAAGGCCCCTGTGGTGGTGATGGGGACCCAGGCCTGTTCCCCTTCCCCCTGCCCCGGGGTGGGGCCCAGGCCTCCAGCGAGGAGAGTGAGGAGGAGGGGACATCTGATGACCTCCACCTCCCCCCTGACTGCCATTATGCCACCCGGCCCCCCAGGCCACAGGCGGTAAGGACCTGGGGCGGGGACCCGGGTGGGGGTGGCCCGGCCCTCCCTGCCCACAGTGTGCAGGGGGGTCAGATCCTGTGTGCAGGTAGGTGCCCGCCCTGCACCTCAGGCCCACTGATCCCGTGCCTTCCCTCCGTCTCCAGTTCTGCACCTTTGGGAGCCGGCTAGTGAGTCCAGGGTGCTACGTGTTCAGCCGCAGGCTGGACCGCTTCTGCTCCGCGCTGAGCTCCATGCTGGAGAGGCACCTCAGCTCACACATGTGGAAGTGAGTTTCCTGGGCCCGGAACTTCCTCCCCAGGCCCCAGGCACGTGGGCCTCCGCAGCCCTCACTCTTCACATGGACCCAGGGGTGTGGCTTGGCTGCTGGCCAGGAAGACCCCGGCTACAGGAAAGGGGTGGGGGGACTGGGCAGCCCGGAGCTGGGCTACCGCAGGGCATGAATGGGGGTCTGGGAGTGACTCACTCTTCCCCATACTTCCAGCACCTTCTAGGACACTAGGATTAGGGGCTGCTCCAACATTTAAAAGGATGTTCTTAATGGGTCTCTATCCTGGCTCATTCCTGCCTGTCTGTCCCTGTGCCTTCTCTCTAACCCTCAGTTCCAGCGTCTCCCAGCAGATGGCAGCACTGCCCGGGCTCTGGGCCATTTCTAGGTGGGGCAGAGGCTGGTGTATGTTGGTGGAGAGGCCCTCGTTTGCTTGACCTGACCGTGGCGCTCTCTTTCTGCTGCAGGAAGATCCCACCGGCAGCGGAGCCTCCATCCCACCTTGCCAGCTCCCCCCTCCCTGCTCCCCCGAGCCCAGCCTCTATGGGCAGCTGCCCCCACCTTCCGGGCCCACCCCCCAGACCTGCTTGCCCAGCTTCCACGCCCCCCACCAAGGACAGCCTGGCCCCCAGCTACCCTGCCGGCTCCCCCAGTGTGGCAGCCGCCTGCAGCCAGGCGGAGTGCATGGGCGGGAGCCAGGCCATCACCTCGCCACTGCCTGCCAACACGCCCTCGCCGTCCTTCAGCAAGCTCCCGCCTTCCAAGGCCAGCAAGTCGTCCAAAGGCAAGGACGGGGCCGAAGTAGAGGCGCCTTCCCGGAAGCGAAAGTTGTCCCCTGGCCCCACGACTTTCAAACGGACCTGCATCCTGGAGCCGCCGGGCAAAGGCAAACCCTCCGGCTGCCGGGGCCTCTCGGCCAAGACTAAAACCGCGCTGGGCGTGGGGCTCAACGGGACAGTGGGGCCGAGAGTGAAGCGGGCAGGGCCCCCGGACTGTCGGGGTTCCCCTCATCAGCCGCCCACACCAGTCAAGGCTTCTCAGCTGGACAGCCAGGGAGCGGCCGGCCACCCAGCCAAGGCCCTGCCAAGCACCTGCCTCTCCGAGGAGGAGGCGGCCAAGAAGCGGAAAAACCTGGCCACGTACTGCCGGCCAGTGAAGGCCAAGCACTGCCCAGCGGGCCCCCCTGCCGACGCGGCCTGCTCCATGCGCCGCAAGAAGCCGGGGCCCACCCTGGCCTTTGAGGAGAAGTGTTCTGCACTGAAGGTACCCGCCCAGCTCCCCGCAGAGCACGGGCAGCCAAGGGGCAGCACGGGTGAGGGTGGAGCGCGCGGTGGGAACTGACGCAGACAGGTGCTGAGTGAGTGTTGGCGCAGGGAGGGGAGGAGAGGGGGCCATCGCCAGGGAGAGGTGGGCCAGCTCACTGCGAGGTGACCCCGGCTTTCGCTTCATGAGCCTTTCACTGTCTCCGCCCGCTCCCTCAGGCGAAGGAGATGCTGCCTTTGCCTCCCCCTCCCACACCCACTCATGCTGTCATCAGAGGCCACTCTCTGAGTTGGCTGTGGCCTTGAGCACTGCAGCTACCTCTGCCCCAACGAAAGGAAGCGTGTCTCCATGAGCTCTGATAAAGGTCTGGGTGTGGGTTGAGCGTGAGCCTGGAGCTGTGGCCTAACTGCTGCCCAGCAGGGTGGCTGGGCCCATCTTGCTCATTGCTTTTGGCCCCTGGGCATCAGCATGGAGGGGCAGGGACAAAGCTCAAGGTCCACACAGGCATGCATGCCCACCTTGCACACATCCCCATTTCCAGGTTTTCAGGTGCCAGGCAAATTTTCCAGGGTTTCTGGGAAAGCCAGCAGTCAGCTCTTTTTTTTTTTTTTCTCTCTCTGTTGATGGAGCCCGGGCATAGCATGGATCTGTCCACAGGTTCTCAGCCAGTAGGGAGTTACTGGCATGGGAAGGGGGTGCTGTCCTGGGTTAGGCATGGGCCAGATGCATGCCAACACCTCGTACCCGTGTGTGAGTGGTGAGTGTGACATCTGCCCACAGCCCGAGTGTGTATAGCACACACGTGTGCGTGGCTGTTCTCTGGGCCGGCCCTGCGGGCTGGCGCTCAGCCTCCTCCTGGCCCAGCTTTCCCCACCAGGCCAGCAGGGGGAAGTCAGGCCTTAGCTCTGTGCTCCACACAGAGCCGGCCGAGCAGGAGGACTGCAGGCCCCCAGCTGACCCTGTCTCTCGCCTCTTGTCTCCCTGCAGTCAAAAGCCCATTAACGAGAAAGTGCCTGCCCACTGCGATGGAGCCGCCAGCACCTCCTCCCCTCCAGATCCGGGCCCCAGGCTGCTGCCGCTTTTTATAACTTTATATTATTTTTTTTAAGAAAAAAAAAAAACCTCTTTAAAATACCTCAAGACTGTCTCCCTGTTCTGTTGCTGCTAAGAAAAATATAAAAACAGAAACCTAGAAAAGGAAGGGGAAAATCTATAACAAAATGAGTGTCCTTACTGTCCCCAGCCATACCCAGGAGGCTGAGCTGATGGAGAACCAGCCTCCAGCTTCCCTCTCTCTGTCCCCTGAGACAGTGTGGAAATGGCCGGGGTGTGTGTCACTGGGGGTCTTCTTTCCAGGCAGGGTGAGGAGGCATGGCTCTGAGCGAGCAGGGCTCCCCAGAATCTTGACCCCAGAGCTGACCCCGGTCCTATTGGGAAGGGAGCTTGACGGGAAGGGGAGCCACACCTCTGGTTCTGCTCTTGGGTCTTTGCCCCGAGGGTCTGTGGGGGTCAGCTTGTGGCCCTTTCAGGGTCTTTCTGCAAGCCTGGGCCTCCATCGCGCCCCCGAATTACTGCTTCACTTCTTCAGCTGTTCTTGCCTCTAACCAGCAGCTCATCTTCACCACTGCGGGAGCTTGAATCGAGTTGGTAACTTCTCAGAATGTCCCTGCCTGTTTTGGCCTCTCCCTGGCCGTTGGGTTTGCCCTTAAGGAAAGGGTATAGCCTCTCCCACGTAGGCCTCCTTGAGCTGAACCACACCTTTTGGGGAGGCAGGAAGGGGAGTGGCGTGATCACAGGACTCCCGTGGTGTGGGAGGCCCTGGTCCCTTAGGATCGCCTGGCTCCCCCGGGGTTGAGCAGATGGTGTGGAGGCGGCTGGGGCTGGGAGTGCCCTAGTTCCTCCATTTGTCTCGTGGGGGACAGTGATTGTGCAGATAGAGCATCGTCAGTCAGACTGTTGGTCCTCAAGCCTGAGTTCACTTGGGTGCAGGGCACGGTTTTCCCCTCGTCCTTTCCTTTTCCTCTCCTCCGCCTTCAGGCAGGGAGGGATCTTACTCCCTTAACATGACAGAAGGAGGATGGATGGAGACAGTGGGCAGCCAGGGAATGGCAGCATTTACTGGTTCCAGTGTCTTGGTTCAGTGTCGCCAACTTGTGACTTGGGGTTTGGGTGAAATCAGTTGTCGCACATGTGATTTCCGCCGCTGCCCGAGACATAAGCCCTTGTAGACCAAGGTCCTGTGCGGTTGGCGTAGCAAACAGCGGCCCAGGAGCTGTCCAGTGCCCGGCGCCCTTGGGCTCTCCCGGGCGGCTCGCTTCCCCCCGTCCCCCAG